AAAAAAAAAAGATTAAATTGCTCAAACTGCTAAGCTTAAGAACTTATTTTTTTAATAAAAATTAATATTTTATAATTTAAAATATTTCAAATTATAAAATATAATTTTATAAACCTATAAAACTCCACATATATATTACATTCTAACAATTTTTTTTTCTTTATTGTAAAATATCATACACATCTCTCGAACTCTCCTTCATACGCGAACTTATGCTCTTACAACATCCTTCTCGAAATCGGATCGAAACGCTCAGCTGAAACCAGCTGCATCGGTTAAAGTAATTGATTTAACGATAAAATCAATAATATAAGGGCGTACGTACGGCAAAAAATATAATATACGGGCGTAGTACATAATCTCATAAAATTTGAAAATGTACATATAAATGCTTGATGTTACATCATGAGTGCCCTACATGAAAGTTACACGAAATGTTTCGTTTAAAAAAAGGTTACACGAAATGTTTTAGAATTTCTTTTAAAATAGGATGGCATTTATGATGACGAATAAGTACATTTACTAGACATGGTCCAAGGAGGGAAAACATCGTTTTGATAGGATGTTAACGTCCCCTAAAAATCTGATAAAACGTGATTTTGTTGTCATTAACACGAACAATTAACTTGTATAATTAGCTTAATTTACGAAAATCTAATCAATAAGATATAAGTCAATGATATATAATGAATTAATAAAATAATTTAATGATAGTTTTTTTATTAGAAATAAAAAATTTGAATTTAACTTATAGAATATGCATATAATGTAAGATAATAGATAAAAAAATATTATCCCTTATTATTTGATCAAGAGAAAAAAAAAATCAACAAGAAACAACATATTCAATTGAGCAAGCGAATCAATGTTAAGGAACGTGGGTCACGGATGTGGGTTACGGACTGGATTCAGGAAAGGGCTAGGGGGGTTGCAGACACAGACTACGGGCTGGACGCAGGCATGGGCCCAGACTTAAACATGGAATTGGATGGAGGCAGTGGACTGGACGCGTGAGGTAGGACTGCATGTGGGGGCATTTGTTGCGGCCTACTGAGTATTGGCCTTTGGTGATGTTGGTTGGATAATGGACACAGCCACGGATGGTGAGCTGGGCTTTCCAATGTTTTTTACTACTTATTTTGTGTGACTAGAGTTTTTAATAAAAATTATGTTAAAAAATTATTGTAAAAGTGATATTTCTATAAATAAATAAAAAAAACTAGAATAAAATAAAAATAATATGTTATTTTCATTAAAACCTAAATTGAGAAATTCCTACATAAACACCAATTCAGTGCTTATGAGATTTACTATGAAATGAATAAAATATTAAATTGTAAGAAGTTGTAGCATTTTTTACAAATTATAGTATTTGATACAGTTAGAGATTTTTGAGTTTAAAAATACTTCTCACCAGCTGTATCAAACATAATCTTAATTATTTGATGAATTAGACTCTGCAACGTTTAGATATATACATTTTTTTTTCCTGAGAATTAGATTATAGTTCAAACTTTGGGCGCAATCTGATGGAATGACAAAATAAAAATTATTGAGAGGACAGCCTAGTATTAGAGAATAGAGAGTTGACTTCATTTAATGGTTTATACAATACTCTTTTGATTAGATAAAATCCCAATGGTTTACTAGAAAATAAATGAATGAATTTTTCTAAGATATGTAATTAAGACACAAATTAAAGGTATAATATAATTAATATATTTTTTATATTAATTTTGTTGAAAAATGTAAAAATTACAAGTAACTTTTATTTAATTAATTGTTCAATTTAAAAAATACACATAACATTTTTAGTGAAATTAATATCAACTTTTGTATTTTTATGTAATTTAATGTAAAAATATATATTAATTACAATCTTAATATGTGACCTAAAAACTCCCAAATAAATATACAAATAAAATCTCAATTACTTTCTCATAGGACTTTGTACTTTAGTAATATTACTGATTGCTTTGGTCTATTTTATTTATTACGCTTTTCAAAAGAAAAAAGTTTAATTTATTTATCAATTTTAATTTTTAAGATGGCATTATTAAAGTCCTATTTTTAATAATTTTGCCAGTACTAATAAGAGTTTTTATAACATGCATTTTTAAAGTATACTGCATTCTTTTTGGGTAAGTATGGTGTATTAGTATCAATGGTTTGTTGGCTTAATTGGAAAAAATTTGATTTATTTTAAATAAGTTTTTAAATTCAAACTTTATAAATAGAAAAACATGTGTTGGGAGATTTTTTTATTAATGGGGTTCGTGTAACTCAATCCTAATTAATAAAAATTTAATGTAATTATCAAATACGAAGAAATTAATAAAAAAAGCATGATGCATTAATTATATATATTTTCATTAATTTATATAATTTTAATAACATACATATAATTTTAAATTTATAATATTATGTAATATTATATTATAATATTATCATAAAAAAATAAGATAATAAAAAAACTAATGATGACGTTATCAAAACGTCATCAATGGTTCCGACTTGTGGTCCAATCGATTTGGATCGTTCGGTGAACCGACAAAGCGAGTCCAAGGTTTTGAATTCCGACAATCTTTTTCAACCTCATGACACGTGGATCATGTTTTCATACGTGGCAAAAGAAAATGAAAGGGAACAACTTTCGCCGATTACGTATACTGCATCTGATCCTCTCAGCTGTTTATTAAAGTTACCCATTTTCACAAATTTAAAAAGCAACTAACACAAGCTATTTAAATAACTCTAAAAACAAGAGATTTTAAATGTTAATGGCATGATATATAGATAGAATGAGATAAAAAAATAAAAAATTATTATTTTTAATTATGTAATTAAGATAAAAAAAAAAGCAACTAGTAAAATTTTATTAGAGGAAAATTTTAATTTAATTTTTAAAGTAGTATAATTAGGAAAAAGTTACCTTTTTATAATTGTTGAAAAAAATTGTTTTGAGATTTTAATGAGTTATTTAAGACTTACTTTTATATTATTTTATACAATTTAAGAAGTTAAATTTAAAATATATAAAAAAAAATTATTTGAAAGCAAGTTGACTTTCAATTTTCGCTCCCTATTTCATCATCACTGTTGCACTTGTGTTATGCAAAAGACAGAAAAAAATTAGATTATGATAATTTTAGACTTAATAAGAAGTATTTTGTAAATAAAAATGTGTTTAATTGATTAGATTATACAATAAAAGTGTAATTTGATGGTTTTATTTATTAAATTATTTTTAATGAAGATTTTTTTATATTAATTTATAATAATATTTTAGTAATTTTAGTGTTTAAATTATACTTTTATTTTGCAATCCAATCTAAAAAAATATAAAACTCTTTTACAAAATATTTCTTCTAAAATATTAGCACAAAAATTTAGTATTTTAAATTTTGTTTAATATGGTTGTAATTCTTAATTTTTAATTTTAGTTTTAGTTTTCATAATTTCTATAATTATTAAAAATTAAAAATTAAAAAATCAAAATTTATTTAAAATAAAATTTAACATTAATAACTAAAATATGAATTTATTTAATTAGTTTTTAATAATAAATAATAATATATTACAAAAATACATAAAAAAATAATAATTTTTTATTTAAAATTAAAATGTATAAAAATTAAAAATCATAATCATACTTAAATTTCCATTTTTCCTTTTTTTTTTCTACAAAGATCCATACAGATTACAGAAATACGGACCCATATATTCTTTAACTAACAAATATTATAATTTATTCTGACTCTGCTTTATTTCACGTCCTTATCCACGTCTGAATCTACTTAAATATATCTGCGTTCTTTGGTAGGGAACTACATATCTGTGTTCTCCACTAGTTTTTGGCCTTTTTCTGTTTTTTCCCCATAGAAAGAAACTAAAACCGACTTTGCTCTTTCATATATCAGCAAATTTCCAATTTGGGAAGTAAACCGTGCAAAAATTGGAAATCTGTCGCCACTCTCACAGTATCACTCTTCCAAGGTTCATTTCTTCACTTTCTTTCTTTTTCTTTTTCTTTTTTTTTCTAAATTCTACTTCTGGGTTTTACTATTGGTACTGTTACTATTATTTATCCAACATGGTTCTGGTTTTTTCATTTTTTTAATTTTTACATTGTTGACTTTAGAGGTCTTGTGTAATTTTTGTTGAGAAAGGAGTAATAGTTGTTTTTTGGAAAAAAATGATATGGGTGTGGATTGTTTGTCTCAATTGTTGAGGTTTGCTAGTTTGTTGGAGCTGATTCTGATGCTCAATTCTGCGACTTTGTGTATTTAGGGTTTGGATCGAGTTTTGATTGGAAGTGGGTTTGTGTGAAATGTTGATTTTAAGTATGAATTCAAAAAGACAACGGCGCCCAAATGTTAGGTTAGGGGAAGTGGGAGATATACCTGCGGCTTTTGCATGTGGATTTTCTCAGAAAGGGAAGGGAGATTTTGAGGGTAAGAGATGGAAAGATGATTTTGTGGTTAATCCTGATGAAAACGAACTTGGTACCATTACTGGGTTTTCAAAGCAAGAGACCCCTTATTTCTTGGATTCTGAGTTTGGTGTTGCTCCGAAGGTTTCTGTGGATTTGCAACAGAATAGAGAGAATAAGAACCCAAATTCAGCAAAATCAGCTTCTGAGTTTGCAAGTTCAGATGAAATTGATGGGAATAAAACTGAGTTGAATTTTGGTACCATTACCCGGAAGAGCAGGGTCATGAGGCGGCGAGGGCAAAGCAGAGAAGGTAAAGGTAATGATTTTGTGCCTGGTAATGCTTGGACTTGGCATTCTAAAGTAACCCCTTGGTTTAGTAATGAAGACAAGAGAGAGGGTGGTGAAAAGGATTATATTGGAATCACATCAAGTGATTATCTGGATTACAACTCTGGCGATGGTTTTAAGGAGTTCTCAGATCGTGAAACACCAGCTACCAGCAAAGAGGCTTGTGACTATGATACTGATGAACCTGCTTATGATATGTGGCAACAAGGAAATTCAAATCAATACTGGAAGGCAGATGCTTGCCGTGAAGGGAGTGACACCTTTCTTAAATCTGGTGATGGATGGTACCAAATGAGATATGGGAGTAATGATATAAACACTGTTAGAAGGTGGCTAGAGGAGGTTGGGTTTGGTAAGTATGCTGATGTTTTTGAATTGCATGAGGTTGATGAGCAAACTTTGCCACTTCTTACTCTTGAAGATCTCAAGGAGATGGGTGTGTTTGCTGTTGGGCATCGAAGGAAATTGTACAATGCAATACAGCAATTAGGAGGACGAGATGTTTCTGCTTGAAGCTTAACCAAGAATGTAGGTAATCGTTTTCTTTTTGTTTATAGCTGCTGTTTTGTACAGTAGAAGTATCACAAATATGTATGTAACTTTTTGGAAGTACTGATGATATGTTTTGTTTTACTCAGTTCTCTACTAACTTGGTCAATGGGATAGTATTATATTACCTGTACACTTGTTCGTAACTCTTTAAGTATCATCCATTTCTGGAAGCTTTGAACCTAAACAGTGGAATGTAGTTAACAATCTACATACATATATATATATATATATATTATTTTTTCTGTTGCTAAGATTTATTCTGGCTGGTATTGGTAAAAGTTTCTTGTGGTCTGAAGTAAAATGCAAAAATGATAAAATCTATTCATCCAATGGCAATGCTTGATTATCTGACAAGAATGAACATGGTGATCATTACACACTATTAATTTGTACAAGGTCTGGTCTCAATTTGTGGTTTTCTATTTGGCTTTGTTCTCTTGAATTTGATCAAATATTGAATGGCGTGTCTAATACATTACTATTGGCGTGAAACTATCCTACTGCTAAATCTTTTTACTACTGGTTTCTTATATTGCATCACTACTAAATCTATATTCATGAAAATTTTCGACGTTCGATATTTTACAATGCTAATAGACCTAATGCTCCCTCTCTAATAATAATGATAACAATGATAAAATCTGCATATAATCAACTTTATTACTAGGTTTAGTATTCTGCAACTTACATTTATATTTCCATTCTGGCTTCAAATTAAGTAGGTTTCCATGTGGGTCAGACTCTCCCTTTTGTTTACTGGTAACTGTTGCTTGAGCATTTACAAAGTACCATGAATATTGCTGTTGTTAAAGGTACCTGAGTAATGAGTGGAATATGTGTTATTTTGATGTATATCACCAGATTCCCTAACTTAAATGCTGATACAAAGAGCATAATCACTATGTTTTGCACCAAAAAAAGGTTGTAAGACTAATATATTTATTAGGATTCCTTGTGGTGGTGAGTTTGTCTCTGAAAGCTAAACATTGCAGGATGCTTAAGTTTCCTTCGACGTTGGCTGTGGATGATTGTCAACATTATATATGCTATTGTTCCTAGAAAGCAGGGGTAGATGACCTCCAATATTCAAGTTTCTTTTTTATGTCTCCCTTTTCCATTCAATTGATCTGCTAGATCATCTGTTGACATTTTATCTGGCCATCCTGCCTTTTTTAAGTTCTGCTTTTTTATCTTGCTATGGATGGAGCTTATGGAGAAGTGACATATGCTTGAATGGGTGTATTCCCATGACAGGTTTCCAAAGATCTCTTGTTTGGTAAGGGGATGCAGCCTCACATTAGTATATGACTTTTGTGTTTCTTTGTAAATTATTATGTTAGCCAATAGAATATTTAGGAGTTTAATATGGTACGTAGTTGCCAGCGGGGGTTAAAGTGTTCATTTCTCTAAATATATCAGCAAGTTGCTAATTAGTTAACTTGTTGGAGTTAGACTTGAATGGTTAAGAATGATGTAAATTACGTTGAGAATGCAGCTTCAAATCCTTCAACAATAAGAGTTTGTTTGGAATGTGATAATGACTCTTTTATTATTATTATTATTATTAAACTATAAAAACAAGTTAAAATTAAGAAATTTCTCATAAGAAATTAGGAATGATTAAGTTTTAATTTTTTCTTTTCCTTTTTACACTAGTAAAGAATCCTATTCTATAAACAATAAGAGGAATATATATTTTTCATTTATGCCTTTGTTTAGTTGAAAATAATCAACATTAAAGTTTTGTTGTTCTTATAATTTCATAAGGAAGTTTCTAAATTTTATGGAAGTAGTCACTATGACCTTTGGGTCTACACAATACCGATGGACTACGCACTCCATCATGAAGGTGGAGTTTTACACTTTTACATTGTATCTATAGATATGGTAATTTGCAGGTATTCGTGATCTTAATTGAGTTAAAGGGGTAAATATTCATATCATTCAATCTTCTCTTTTTCCTTTTTCTTATATATATTAGTTTGGAATGAAGTGATAGTATCATTGAATGGGTTGGGCCTCTTCAATGACCATTCGATTTAACTGCTTAATGGTTGTATTAGCTAGAAAGCACTAGCGAATATCAGATCTTTGGGGAATTATTCATAAAAAAAGAAAAAATGATCTTTGGGGAATTTCGTTCAACTGTCTTTGAAATTTGTGGAAAATTTGTAGTTTTTGGGGAATTATAATTCCACCGGACGGAATCTTGGAAAATTTTCACCAACATTTGGACAATGGTGTCTTAATCGAATCAACAGCCTTCATATACAATTGCTCGAATGCTGCATTATTAAGCCACAAAAAAAAAAGAAGTGTTTATTGAGGTTTGCCTTGTCATCTAATAATTTTTTTTTTTTGTTTATAATTAAGTACAGTTTAAATTAAAATTATAGAACGTAAATCTCAATTAACAAGTGGGCAATAAGATGATGGGTAGGGCCCTGAACTGATTACCACATCATAGGTGGGGCCTAAGCTAAGAGAGGGGCCCAAACTGAGAAGATGACTCCAATCCAACCGACTGGGCCTTATAGGGCAGAGCCCAAGGTGGGTGGATTAGGACAATGACACCATAGAAGTAAAGATAGCATATCCTTTCAAATTTGAGAGTATGAATGAATTGAATGGTGAAGCGATCGATATATACTACAGTAGTATTTTAATGCATTAAAAAGAAAATTGTTTACGGTCCATCATGTTAAAAACGAAAAAAAAAAAGGGTTTAGAATGAAAAAAGACATGATTAATTATTTAAATAATTTAATGATTTTATTTTTTGTTGAAGATAAAAGATGCTGAGTTTGAGTTATATGATATGCGGATGAGATGAAATAAGAGATGAGAGATGATTGTTTCTCATTGTGTAATCAAGATGATAAAAAAAAAAAAAAAAGAAGAGAAAAGACATGAAGATTCATCAGTAGGATTGCTTAGACCAGATTGTAATCTGTTCAGTTGTAAAACTTCAATCTCTAATCATGTAATATGGAAACAAAAAGTATATTTGTTTCGTACTTTTAAAAGAACTTATTGTTTTATAGTTTATATTGTATAAGATTATAAAATAATATTTTACTCTTAAAATATGCATAGATTTTTAAAATGAGATAAATTTAAATTTATTCATTTTTAAAATGCAAAATTGATGTGCATGCTCTATATAATAATGCATAGTACATATGTACTTTTTTTTTAAAAACAAAGTGACAAGAGTGGGATTTAAACTTCGAACCTATGCATGCTCTATATAATAATGCATAGTACATATGTACTTTTTTTTTTTTTAAACAAAGTGACAAGAGTGGGATTTAAATTTCGAACCTACCAAGAGGAGGGAAGACTACACATTCAAGGTGGTCCGAAAACCACTTGAACCGAAAAGTCAGGTGCTAGTACATATGTACTTTGAAGAGTGATTTGAACATATACCAAATGACCTAATACCACCGTCCCATGTTCCCCATCAATTCAATTCAATCAACCATTCAAAACCATTCATTTTCTATTCTTCATTTTTAATTTCTAACCTTTTTTTGGTTTTCTCATTTAAAATATACATGCATATGCCAACAACTTAAATAATTCAGTAGTTTTTTTTTTTTGTTGAAAGTAAAAAATTTTAAATTTACGTTGTATGACATGCGGATGAAATGAGATAAAAGAAAATTGATTATTTTTCATTGCGTAACCAAAATTTAAAAAAAAATTACACATACATACCTCAACCACTTTGACTTATTTGAGTATTTGATGGTGAGAAATCGAAAATTGAATATATTAGTTCCTTTACCAGGTCATTCCGTTTCTGTGTGACATTGAAAATTATTGTGAATTAAAATTCACACTTCCTTAAAAAAGTTAACCTTCCAAGAGCGCAATACTCCTTATGTCCCAGCTTGCTTATAGTATTAAGGTCAATCGTTGATTATTGTGCCCATTGTTTAGGGTAACAAGGACAATTTCCTTCATTACATTGCCTTGTCTATAAGCGTCGACAATTTTTCTCTGAAACAGCGGTTTCCGAAGAAATCAGCCAACCAACCCAACAATCTTCCAAGGAAATCGACAGCTGATAGGCATTAGAACTCTGGGGTCCACTGTCCCAAAATGCATGATCCGATTATGATCACATCAGGGATGGACGGCAATCTGGCATTTAGC